ATGACCTAAAACTGCACCCTGCCGGGAGTGGGTGGCCTGGTGGGGCTCCCAGTGGTGCGGGAGCCCCCAGGAAATGCCAGGCCAGTGACCACCCCGGTGAAAGGCAGGTCGGGGCGCCTTAACCCCTAGCCCCCACGACCGGGTGGGTTACCCCTTGTTTTGAGGGCCTGGAGGGTGGACCCCCAGAGAGAGAGAAAAGGCCATAGACTCAGGCCTGTCTGAACTTCCCCTGACTGGCCCATGCTGGGGCAAGGACCGAAAGGGTTGAAGGGCCGGAGGCCCACTGCGAGGGACGCCCAAGAGCTGAGGGCCTGGGGTTCAGACTGGCCTGGAGGTGGCCCAGGGCTAGAGAGCCGAAGGTCTCAGGGGGGACCACACCCAAAGGGGAAGCAGGTCAGGGAGCTATGGTGCCCGGTATGAAGGCAGATGAGACTGCCAGAGGAAAGGAATCCAGGCGGGGTTCAATTAGGAGGATTCTGGGGCCCAGTGTGGGGACTGGTGACAATGATAACATCGAGATGCCATCTGCGAGTCTTGGACTGCGGTGTAGGGGAGGAATGGAGCTGCAGATAATGGGGCAGGAAATGGGCAGCCTCCTGCTTAAGTACATCATTTAACTAATTAACAACAAGGCATGGTGGGAGAGAATGCGGGCAGTTAGCCAAGTAACAGGTGGGCGGGCCACTGGGAAGTCAGCCCCGAGCAGACCTCGTTACACCAACCCATACAGAGTACTACAAAGACGTTCATATATGCTGATTATGGTACCACGTCACAAGACTTTCCACTGTCAAGAACAGACTGACACATTTACTAAGCAACCTTTCAGATTACTACAAGGAGAACCAGCTTTGTGCCAACCCAACCAAGATACAGGTCACAGCTTTTTACCTATGCCATAGAGAAGCCAAGTGAAAATTAAACATCTGGCTCTTCACTGGCTAATCACCTGGACCCTGTGTACTTGGGGGTTACATTGGATCAAACACTTACCTTCAAAGCACAGGTAGAAAAGATGAAAGGGGAAGTCAGCACCTGCAACAACATAGTCTGAAAGTTGGTGAACTCTACGTTATGGAGTCTACATTACAAACCACTGCCATTGACTTGTGTTACTCCACTGTAGAGTGTGCATGTCCAGTATGGGAATGATCGGTTCATGCCAAGAAAATAGATGCAGTTCTAAATGACAGCTGTCATGAAATAACAGGATGTCTACAGCCAATGCCAAAGGATAGCCAGTACTTACTGGTTGGCATTGTACCACCTGATATCAGAAGAAAGGTAGCGAGCCAAAAAGAAAGATCATGGCAGATGGAACAACCCAGGTATCCATTTTGTGGTCACACAGACTTAAAATGCAAAAAAATTTTGCGACCAGTGTTGCACTGTTGTACATGATGGCTGACATGACATAACTGAGGTTATGGAAGGAAAGATTATGTGCAATCATGTGCTCTGAAATAGACCTGGAACCCCAGGAGGACCTTCCAAGAGGGGCAGATCTAGATTGGCCTACATGGTGATGCCTGAATCACTTGTGTATGCAAACCAGAAGATCAAAAACAAACATGATCAAATGGAGATACTCTAAAGACACAACTATATACAAGCATGGTGAAGTGCAGATTATGGAGCACATGCTCATTTGCCACCCCCTTGGTGAGACCTGTATGAAGGAGGACCTTGCTGCAGCAATGGAAAGAGCCATTGCTTGGAAAATTCTGGGGGAAAAAATCTAGTTTATGACAAGGACATGAGAAGAAGTAGTAGTGAAGGAGAGGAGGTCAGCCTGGTCACAGGATTTCTGCCAAAGGTGTGCTATATCATATGAGCAGGAGCAGAGGAGTAGAAGTTGACAATGATTCAGGTCTCCAGGAGAGGGACAAAAAGTCAATGTGGAGAGAAGTGAAGGAGAGAATCAACTACCATATCATTGTTGACTGCAGTTTGCAGTTGCTTTCTGGAGTTCCTTTCCTGGATGTCCATCCTGGACCTTCTCCAATCCATCTTCCATCCTTTACACTCAACTGAAACTGCTCTCACCAAAAATCTCCAGTGACTTATTCTTAGTCAAAACTCAGAACCAATATTTCATCTTTATCCTGTTGCTTTCAATCTGTGGTCCGCAGACCCCTGGGGTCCACAGACTGTCTAAGGGGTCTGTGAAAGATGACTGTGATCAATCAAAAGAATGTGAATACCCACACTTAGAATTTAAAGGGGTCTGCACCTCCATTTGAAATTTCCCAGAGGGTCCACACCTCCATTCAACATATTTTAGGGATCTGCAAATGAAAAACGGTTGAAAACCACTGTTCTAGATCTGTAAAACTTCTTCGGTAGAGCAAACATTTTTCCTCTTACTGAAATCTTGTTCTCCTTTTAGATTCAATGCTTCTGTCCTCTCACGTTTCTCCTCCAGCCTCTCTAATTGCCCTTCTTTATCTCCTCCCTCCAGATTTCTGAGAGTCTCTTGGTCCTCTTCTTTTTTCCTTCAATGCTTTAACCTCCGGTAATCTTTTTTACAAATACAAATTGACTGCCATCTCTATGCAGATGATTTGCAGACCTGCCTTATTCTTTCTTACCTTAATTCCATATCTGTGTAAACTGAAATCTTAGTTTGGCTCTCTAACATTCCCCCTCATGGATATATCGAGTCTTCAGCTTCTTACAAGCAACGGTAGAACCTGGATTTTTTTGTACTGGGATGTTCACGACCTGCTTAATTCACAACAGGTTGCTGAATTAAGGACAGGTTGCTCATCTGACTTGCTGAGCATTTACATCAGAGGGCACTACTTCTCTTCTCAGCTCAAGCACAGCCTCAGTTCTGCACAGCTGCTTGGAGAGGAGGTGCCCTTTGAAATAAAAACTGCAGCAAACACCCAGAACATCTCAGCTGTCCCACAGCTGTTTGCTCTAGCTATGTATACTTCCAGATGGCTTGCAAACCCTTATCTTTGCAGAGCAATGAGGAACTTAACCTTGCAAAGTATCAGGGTTGTACTGTGCTATGTTGTTCTCTTTTCAAAGACCCAGCAGTTGATGCAGCATGCCTGGTGCTTTTTACCCTGTGCTCAGTGCTTCCACAGTCCGTTTCTTTGTACCTATCAGGGAATTTTCCTGGCATATACTTAGCTGTCTGGAGCCTCTATGCACCACTGCAAAAGAGATGTATAGAATCATGGGAATAAAAGGAACCTCAAAGATCACCCAGTCCAGTATAACATAACTATTTGTTTTGTCTAATGGGATTTGCAGTGATTATTTAAATAAATACTGTTTCTTATGTGTGGAATTAAATCTTTTCCTCTAGTTAAAAACACTTCAGGGATTTTTTTTTATTGCAGAAGGGTATAGACACATATTTACTATGCAACTATTGATTTTATTTATAGTAAAAGTGGGGCAAATGCACAATGCTCAGCCTTACATTGGAGCAAAGTCTCCCTTTTCTAGTGGTAAAGCTACCTTATGAAAAAATGGAGAACTGAGCGAGTGTTGTGTGTCAGTTCCATTAGTCATTTTCATTATATTTTCTCCGTGCAGACTGGTTCCCATCACCTCGTGGGGAACTGCAGTAAGACTGCTTTTTCTAGGCCTCTGACTTTGGGGAGTGGGGCTTCTAGCTATGGAGTAAAATCTAAAGTAAATTACTCTGCAATAAACATAGTATTTACCCATGTACTTAATGTTGGAATGCCTTTTATTGTAAGAATATCTCTTAAATCATGGAGCCCAGTAGAATCACATAGGCATTTGGAGAGGCATTCTAGATGCTAGGAACTAAAAACCGACAGCTACATCTGTGGAAAACTCTGAATTCACACAAAAGCATTCTTCCCATGACACAGTAAATCCCTCGATCAATGTGTATATGGTTGTTTTCTAGTGGTGGTAACCTTAACGCTGCAAAATCATTTATGTTAGCATAGTTTCTCTTGGCATGTAAATGTTTGTATTCAATAATTCAGTAAGTTTAAAAAAAACCTGCAAAATTTTCAAAAGACCAGCAGTTAGTGACATGCCAGTAAAGCACGTTTATAAACAAACACCTCCACACTAATATTTTATGTGAACTTCCATACACTTTATGTTCTGAGGGGAAAATATATTGTACAATACACTGACATTGGCATTTCCTCTTCAGCATAACCATCTGTTGCTATGTAGAAGCACAGTAGTGGTAACTTTTTTTCGTCTGTAAAGCTCAGTCTAAATACCAGGTTTTAACAATGTGAGCCTTCCTTATGTAGGAAAAGAACACTGGATGGATATTTCCCCATTGTCCATATTTGCTTTCTGTTCTGACATGCTACCAAGAGAACCTCTTCTAAACATTTATCATGAAAACACACAACAGTATTTCTCCAATAGAAATTCAGTATACGTCATCACTCATAGACTAACTAGTTCGTCATTTAGAATCTGATCTAGTTGTTTCCTGCTTTTTATTGTTATCATCGAGCTCCTTACGTTCTAAAAGCTGGCTCTCTTTAAATGGGAACTAGAACGTGTCTGGACTGAAAGATGGTCCTGGATTGAGACAGAAAATGCATGTTCAATTCCTGGCTTTTCCAGTCCTTTCCTGTGTGCACAGGGGTAGATCACTTCATTTCTCTGCACCTAAATACTCCATCTTTAGAATGAGAATGATTCTTTCTTTCATAATGTTGGTGTGAAAATGTATATTTATGTACTACTGTGATGTGCTACTGCAATGTTTATACATTACAAGGCAATAAGCACCAGAAAGACATTTTAAATTATTCCCAAGACATACTGATATAATTAAAATAATTTAATTTTTATGTCTTCTATAGGTTCATGGAATTGCACTCTGAAGTTGAAAATTCATTGGAGAGATTTCTGAAAATAAGGCAAAATTTAACAAGCTTACAGGTCTGTTTTACAGTGGTTTTAATTTTCTTAATGTACTTTTAATATGTGAATTAAATAAAAACTACAGCCACGTATACAGGATTTGTGATTTATAGGAAAGAAAAAAAACATGAAGTAACCTGTTCATATTCCTTGAGAGGCAACGAACTAATGTGAAAGCTCAAAATGCCATTTTTTGAAAACTAGGAAAGTTGCTTTTCAAAATAGACAGTAATTGATTGTTGCATCTCTGTACCTAGTTGGTTTTTTTTAGAGACTACAGTCTATAAGGTCATTATTAACTCATTTTCATAGCATTTGATTTATGAATTACTGCTGCATAGTTTTCCTACTTTGGAAAATTAAGTATCTCTTTGGGCTGAAGCAATGAGACCAGTCAGTTTAGTGTCTTAAATGTTAACATTTGATGTAATCTGTATAAAACACAATGCAAATACTTATTTTTACATTTATTCATATTTTTCTATGCTGAATAAATTGAACTCAGATTACTTCTTATGCATCAGTATCCTCAGAAATAATGTAGAATAATCAAATTATGATTATTTTACTTACATATGCAGGGTGCCAGTATTTTAACTTCCAAAAATATTATTTAGATTGATGATATTTTTAAAAGCCTTCAATTAAAAGATTTTTCAATTTGGCTTTTCTAAATACATTTTAAAATAAATCCCACTCCTAAGATTAATAACTGTATATGTTTAGACTTAGAATTGAAGAGCATGGGCAATAGAAGTACGAACGCTGATAGATTTTTCTGTCTTTACTAATATATTAAGGCAAGTTTTATACATATTCCAGGATTGTTCTTCTGGGGATCAAGTATTAATCTATTTAAAGAGCTGAAGATTTATAAATGAAGGAAAACTAACAGAAGATTTTGACCACTACTTTCAAAAGCATCAAAATCCCATTGTCAAAAGTGGCATATGTACTTAAACTCCTAAATCCCGTGGACGTCTGATACAAAGTTGTTTTTACAAATGCTTGTTAGACTGCAGTAATTTGTAGGATTTTGGAATGAAATTAAGACTTGTTTTTAATTCTGTTTCTTTCAGGCTTTAGGGGGCAGTAAAGAGCTTGAAAATATTATCGGCATCTCAGCATCCTCAAGTAACTTGAAAACTGAATTGCAGAAAACCAGAAAACTAAGTAAGGATTATCAACAACTTTTACCCCTTTGTAGTAATTTAACAACTAACACAAAGTACTGTATTGTTTATGTTTGTATTCTGCTCTTGGTGTACACGCACCCAGGCAACTGAAGTCCAGATTCTTTTGGTTAGTCATCTGCTGGACCTGGGCATGTGTGTCCTTGTGCATCCAGCCAAGGGCAAAAAAGGCAAGGCAGCTCTAACTGCTCCACAGTTCTTTTTATTTTTTACCAGTTGTGACGATGAGTTAGAATTTGTGGCTTCATAGCTTTTTCACATGCTGTGTAGCCCTTTCTTTTCTTATGCAAGTAGTTGTAAATGGTTAGATACTTAGTGGATAGTGATGGAGTTAATTATTAGGCTTCAGTGCTAGTGTTAAAGCGCCCCCACTTCCATTTTGAAGCGCAGGACATTGAATACACAAGATGCTAAGGCTGCTGGAGCCTGGTAATTAACAGGCTCCAGAATACTCAATCGAGTTGACATGACTGCTAATTAGTGCTAATTAGTCTGGTCCAACACATGCTAATTAGTTGGAGCAGGCATCAGGCACGTGTATAGGTGCCTGAATTTTATGGATGGCCATCCTGATACTGGCAGTGTATGTCTCCAGTACCAGCTACAGCACATTTTGTGGATGCTCCCACTATACTGTCTGATACTACTCCTCTTCTTGAAAGAAGGAATCACTTTTTCTTCTGAGGACCTGAGGGCAGTTAGGGAAGTTTGTCTGCTGAGTCATTCCAGTCTAGGTTCTTGAGCCAGTGCACATCTGGGAGAATCTCCAGGGTTTACTATGTCAGGAGTTCAGCAATGGATAGCAGTCCTTAATGCCTTCTTTTTAGCCATCTGTGACTTAGGCGTACCAGCTCCCCTGTTGCTCTTGGGTTCTCTGAGGAAAGCATCAATCACATGAATAAGCCAGCTGTTCATCACAGTTGAGATCCCCTTTACAAGGGGAATTTTCCACCAAGTGCAGTCTGCTCGTAAGCAGATCAGTCACTTCTCAGATAAAGAGTTTCCAGCAGGTCTTCTTGTACTACTCTCAATGAGGGACTTCTGGATCCTGTCAGAATTAGCTGTCAGGTTCTCTCTTAGTTTTACATGAAGTCAGGGGTTGCAATGGTGAATGAACAGTCGTATCAGGGTCTGCATAAATCTGTACATAAGGACAAGGAGTTTAAGAAACTGGGCTTCCTTGAATGGAAAAGTTATTCAACATCAAGTCTTCAAGTGAGACTTGCCAACTACAAAACCCTGTTAGTAAAACATAATTTAACTAGCTGGGATTCTGTGGCAAAATTTAAAGAGAAATACTTCTCTGTTGTCCTGGGTGAACTTAGTTCTGTCCTCAAGGAGCATGAGTCAATAGCTTGCATGTCAATAGCTTGTATGTAGATAGCCATTCACTCTGTAAACACAACCTTCAGATAGATGGCAACTTATCTGCTAGATGAAGACAGTCCTGGCTCCATGCATCAGGGATCTTTAAAGAAGCCCACGTTATATTTGAGGGATAAGATGAATTTTGTAATGCAAAAATAGATAAGGTGTGACACTTCCTTGTGTGACATTCTACTTAGAGCCCAAACTCCTGTGCTGCCCTACCATTAACCACTAACACTGTAAGTTGAAGGCATGAGAACATTCTTGGGATATGTCTGCCAGTTTTGGGTAGAGATGTACTTGAGCACTCCCTGCCTACCTGCTCCCTCTTGAACATGCTAATGTAGCAACAGGCAAGAAAGGCCTCCTGTGGCTGCCTTTAGGAGGCATTGAGAGCATCTGAAGAATGTCCCCAGAGCAACTTCACCATGTTTCTAGGTCTCGCATGTAGAAGCTGGTAGCACCTACTGTGGCATCTCCCCAGGGCTTACTGGTCCTCTATCCACTCTGAATCTTGCAGTAACTTACATGGAAGTAAAGCAACTGATGTTACTTATGTTGGCCTTAAAGCGTTGTGTGCCTAGAACCACAATTACTGTAGGGCAGGAGTATAGGGGAGAAGAGTGGGGAGGGAATGACAGCGGCTGCATTAAGCCTTTTGCGGCCTTTGCTTGCCCTGTGGCTACTGTGGGATTTGGATCCAGCCCAGGAGGCTGCCTGCAGTCCAAAAACAATCAGCAAAGAGACCAGTGGTCCAGAACTGGCCCGGAGTCACGGGTGAGTTTGACACTCCTGCTTTAGAGTAAGTAACCATTTCTTATCTGATTTTTATCCCAATATGCCATCTTAATAATATGCCTTCATTAATAATACTAGAAGTAACAAAGTATACAGATAACAAATATTTCCACCTACAGAATGGTATTGCTTAATGTTGCCTATGCAGATATTTTTGGTATTTATCTGAGTATGTGATATGTGCCAAACCTTTAAAAGGAGAATTTACATGCTCTTAGGAGTATAGGTGAGGTGTCTTTGTATTTTACTGCTTTCATTAAACCCTTTGGAATACCTTAAATGTATTTTATTTGCTAGTGGCTCAAGTAGGAAAGCTAAAGCAGCAGAAGAGGAATAATGCTGAGCATCCTGTCCAAGGTAACAAACTTTTTCAAATGTGTCGTGTAACATCTGCTTTGATACTTCATAGCTTTTAACAAAAACCAAAGAAAGAGAGAGAGAGATTGATTTTTTTCCTCCCTGTATGCAGGCTATACTAACTATTCTTTTGAATTTTTCTGAAACTTAATTTCATCTTTCTTTTCAGCCTTCTATTTTGAACACACATTCTTACTAATAAATAGCCAGTAATGCATAAGGGGACAGATCAATCAGTATCTGTAGTGTATTTGGGGCATGGTCAAAAGTCCACTGGATTCAGTCAAGCCTTTGAGGCCTTATGTAAGTTGGATGGATGTCTGCATATGAAAAATACTGCCTTCTCAGCTGTCCCATTCTCTCTGTCTTAATCCTCCCACCCTCATCTTCACTCTGTTGGGTTTTGATCAGCTTGAAGTCTGTTTGATGGAGGCCATATCACCTTATCTGTATTTGTGAAGTGTCTAGTTTACTCCTAGTGACTGTGCTGTAATGTTATGTCGTTTCATAACCAGTGCTCTAAAAATATTTGAAGTGACTGGCATTCAATATAGTGTAGACCACATATCTATGTTAGTGCCCTTAACTAGCTCATAATATGAGGTTTAAAAAAGAAAACAAGATTTCCAACCTACATATCCATTAACATCAATAACCATCACCACTTTTTGGTATTTGAACATCTATCTACTAAGATAATGGGGTTTTTTGTTGGTTTAGCTTGTTTTAATTCTTTGATTCATAGTCAAGGAGGACATTGTCCAGAGATTATGATTTCTCTTGTGTTTTGATGTCACATGGATCAGGCTCCACACCCTTGTCATAGTTAGCTTCACATGAATGGGAATACCCACTTCCAGCTTATAAATTCCTTGAGGAATTTAGACACTATCTGTGGAATTGTTAAAAGCAGTTCACTTTAATTACACTGTTTGGATTGTCACCTTCTTTATTTAAGAAACCAGGTCTAATCCCAGTTCTTGTGTAGTAAATCCTTGATGCTTCTCCAGCCTTTAATAATAGAAACATTATATCATTTTACAAGCATTAAAGAATTTGCATTGTCCCTGAGAGAGGTGGGAAGTATTATCCATATTTTACAAGGCCCTTCATTTGCAAAGTATTTCAGCATGTGCCTGTCTTTAAGCATGTGATGGGTACCACACAATCAATAAGTGCCCAGATAAGGTTCAGAGAAAGAGGTTAAGGGACTTGATCAGTTTTTCAAATAAAAGATACTGGAGTGGCTGAAGTGAAAAGAGGAAACCAATTAACAATAGTGCTGCTTCTAAGGCTGTATCGGGAGTAACTCCTGAAATGGGACTCCTCCTTTCTATTTTGTTTCCAGTCCTATCTGTATGTAGAAGGTAGCATTGACCATTGCCCACAAGGAAACCAGGGTCTTAGCAACAAGAATCTCAAACCCAGAAAGCAGTCTGAACTTTTAATTTGAAAAAATCCATCTTTCTGTTGCAAAGGTGCAAACGTTTTGATAGAAACCCGCACAAAATATTTCAAGTGAACTCCCAATCAGGTGTTCGTGTTTGTGTTTTGTTTTGTTTGTGTTTTAATTTTCTAACATGCTGAATGTTATCACACAATTTTTTACTTCTGGAATAAACTTTAAACTTACCTCTGATCTGAAGGTGTTTAGGGAGACATGTAAAAGGTGGCCATGAGGTGTTAGTCTCACTAGAAGAGTAGTCCCCTCTAATCCTATAAAGGGTTTAGGCCCAAGGAGAACTCAAGCACTTCTTTTCATGGAGTTCTGAAACTCCCTGGTGATGAAATATTCCTGTCCCTGCAGAACAATCATGGTGATGATCTGGAGAAACTGTAGCTACTAGTAATCTCTCCACTACCACTTTACTATGTCCTTTCCTGTGTCTTTCTTTTTTTTTTTTTAATTCCATCATGTATGCATTATTCTCAGACAACATAACTCAAAGAAAGTCAAAATGCAAGGCCAAAAGACTTGTTCTGAAGCCAGTCAGTTTGTTTAAAATTTAGATAAGTGTAACCGACAAAAAATCAAAGTAAATAAAAAACAGCTATTCTGTTCTGAGACTCCAGAAGAAGCCCAAACTCATTGTCTATCGCCAGTCCAGATCAGCAAAACTGTTCCAGATAAGAAGCAGTCACATCAATCTTGGTTGCCTCTGCTCAGCTACAGGCCCACATCTTACAACAAAGAAAATTGAGCAAATCCAAGACAGTCTCCATTGCTCTGAGGAAAGTAACACCCTGTGAAAAGGAGTGAGTTACATTGCCCTTTTTGCAGTTTGGCTCATTTGTACAAGTTGAGGAGTTCATAACGGCACAGGCTTCCCCATGTGCTTTTCGTCAAAACAGATCCCTGACTCTCCTGACCAGTGAATACTGGTGGAGAGGACCTTGGGCCATGGCTGGCAGTTATTGCCTCCCTTATGGAATGCTTTCTGGCAGCCGTGAAATAAATTTATATCCCATCTGTGTTTCAGAAACGAACCCTCAGTGCTGAAAATCTAGCCAGCATTCAAGCTTATTAGATGAGCTGTTCACCCTGCATCTGAATTCATTGCCTGAAAGTAGGGCAGAAGCACAGTGACCACTTTAATGGAGTTTCAACTTTAACCACTTTAATTCCACTTTAAGAAAGAGTAAGCTCCATTCTGCCATCTTAAAAAAAGGCAAGAGTAGAAGCAGCAAAGAAATAATATGATGCAAGGAAGAATTTGGAGATCTTTTACTTTGCCTTTTAGTTTTGGATGTGGTTTTTTATAATTATTTTTAATTAGTCATGCTTAAGACTTAAAACCTATGACTGTTCTGTGGCTTGATACAGATGGAATGTCACATTATCATCACATGGTAAGGCATGAAATTTATTTACTTTACATAAACAACCTCTACTTAAAACAACTTAATACAGAACATTCCTTGGTCAATGGGCAGCATTATGTAGGACTCAGTATATCATTTTGTGTGACCAGCATAAAAAAAGGCATCATTGTTTGTCCATGACTAGCATTTACAGTAAACAAAATGTTTTTGAATAGAATGTAAGCAAACTGTAGAGCAGCTGCCAAGAGATGAAATCTAGTCAGTTTGTTGCAGTCCAGAACATGCTTTATGTGCACTGAGAATAAACGTGTAGGTTGCACTATGCATATTTTAAAGGAGAATTTAACAGTTTGAGCATCTGAAGTATTGAAAAGAAATTTCTGAACAGTGAAGCTACTTCAGCTGGCTGTTGCAGAACATTTTCATACTTTCTCTGATTCCTAAAAAGAAAAACAGCACAGCATTAAAATGAATAATGTTATGAGTGAGTCTGTTGTGCTCTGCCAGACTGAATAAGGAATATTTTCAGATAATCTGATATTTGCAGTATTATGAAGCTCAACTTTCAGAACTATTAGGTCATATCCTGTGTTTAAGTAGAAAACTGAACCTTCATCTTAGCAAGATGGTGGGCAAACAGAGTCATTCTTTTTATGATTTCTCTTCCCCTGCACCAGTAGGAAATTCTTATTCCTACATCATTTTTTACATGGCAGTGGAGCCATTTCCTTCCTTCCATCCACATATAGTGGTGGCTCTCCAAAAAACCAAAAACAAAGTTTTTAACTGATTTCCATTTAACTACATTTGAAAGACATGTGCAGCTATGTGAGACCACTGTCCAGGTGCCCAATGCTAATGTTGGTCTCCTTACTCTTGCTGTGCCTCATAGAATGGAAAGGGCAGGTGTCCAACGTCTTCCTAATGTTTTCTATCCTCAGCTCAGTTTTGTTAAACCTGGTATGCCAGAAGAGTCTAACTATGAATGGATAACTTATTTTCTTGCTAGCAATGCCAGCTGCTCCAGCTAGGTCATCTTGTAACTCATGAAAATGATCAGTCATCACCAATCAGCAATGGTTACAGGCCTGATATAATTCAAACGTGCAGCCTTTACCTGCTCAAAAACTCAAAAGGACGCTGAAGTTGTACCCAGCTTATCTTGGGAGATACGATGTTTGTCTCCTAGATATGGGATGTCTTTTGAGCAAGACCTTTCCGAAAGCAAAAAAATCTAGCTGGAAAATCTTACCCTTTAAATCTGAAAAGCATTTCAAGCTGGCAAAAGGGCCCTGTTTGTTACAACCTCATCTTCTCTACCAGTCAAACTTAAAATTGCTTCAACTTTTTTCTGTTTCATCTGAAAACCTGTTTTTAAATGTTTTGGATCACTCTTCCAATGAGAGACTGTTTAGTACATTAACTTGGCCGCCAACTATGACCTTCCTGTTTCTCCTGATCTTTCTTTCAGTTGCTTCAGGCAATGTAGATCTGATCATGACTTTTTAGACAAAGGTACTGTGTTGCCTGTGGGACCTCCCAGACTTAAAGGAAAACATTTCCAAACATTATTAAATTTAAGTTCTGAGAAAAACAAATGTGAACTTGTTGCTTTTGTGCCCCTGCCGTCCTGAAGCTGGTGGTGCCACTCAGCAACCCAAGGGCTCCATTTTATTTTCCTGGTCAGTACTGCAAAGGTGGATGTTGGATGTTTGTGCTAGTCCTCCTTGCCTTGAAGACTACTGTTGTATATGAGGCTACATCCTGAGTCCCCATAGAAACCAAAAATAATGCAAAGTGCAGGAACCTACTGGATAAGAGGAGTATCTTCTCATAATCGTATGGCATACCAGTATTTCAAGACCAGTGCTGGTTGTCTGTTAAAGGGTAGAGTTTATATTGTATTTGATCTGTAAACCATTAAACCATGTCGCCTAACAGAGTTGCCATGGAGGGCCTTATTCTAGGTGAAAAAGAACCTTGTTACTCCTAAATCTTGCTGCCTTTTCTGTAAAAAGTAAATCCTGTGAGTAGAGTAAGTAGAAATGCAGGAATGATAGCATTTCCTTCCTACAGTTGTGTTTGGAAATTCCTATTGTGGATCTTTTGTCTCCTGAAAATGTGCTGCTTTCCTGGCCTCTAGTTGACTGAGGTGGCTCTGGTTTTGGATCCAGTCCACTTGGCTTTAACAAAGGTATTTTTGCCCCAGGAACCCACATCCTTCTCTTCTAGAGAGAACTAGTACCTGATGACCTGGTTTGTGAGAGAGTTGCTCATAGAAAGCTGGAGAACTTTCCACTGTCCTGTAATGTTTGGAAGAAGCTCCTGTAATTAAGCGGAGGAAGATTTTTTTTAAACTGACCAAGGTCTTTCAGTTAAACCTTAGATATTTTTTCCAGCAAAGATTTGACAGATCTCTTCATCGGCCTCTTCTAGTATCAGACATCCACCTTGGAGATTATGAAGAATATTCTTACAGGTCTGTTTCTAATAGATGATCTTTATATGGAGACTCTGCATTACTGGCTTTCTGTAGTGGCTATGGTTTCTGTTTGCCAGGTATCTGAAATGGCTGTTCTGAGTTGATCTCCCTACTTAATGGTCCAGAATAGTGACTGGGGGTCTGCAGACTATCTAAGGGGCCTGCAAAAGAGAACTATTGTCAATCAAAAATGTGTGACTACCCACACTTACAATTCAAAGGGGTCCACACCTCCATTCAAATGTTTTTTAGGGGTTTGCAAATGGAAAAAGGTTGAAAACCACTAGTCTAGAACAACAAAGCTGGCTTCTGAACAAACAAGGCAACAGTGCAGGGGTGCCCAACTGCTTTTCTTACATCCTCCTTCCAGCTAAGTTGAGAAGTGTTGGCAAGGCCTAGTTGGAAAGGGTGGGAAGGTTTGCATTAAGAGGATACAAGATTTGAGTGAATAAGAACTTGTTCCTGTGTACTTCTGAAGGTCCAGAAATAGGATGTGAAGTCTTTAGAAATGTTGTTCAGGTGTATTACAGTGATGCTGAAGGGAAGGCAGCCTTATATAGTAGATTAAAGACTCTACCTATCAGTACTTTTTGGGGTGAGACACGATGGCTGTCTAAATCAGATAGGTAACAAAGCTGCACCATGGTCTCTATGTGTGTCTTCACTAGGTATTGGAGAGAAGATGTTTTAGTAAGGATTCTGTGCCTATCCCTCATCACTGCCACAGGGACATAAAGGAACTGGGGAAAAGACTGCAGCTGATGGTTGAGAATTTCCTCTTGTTTGGCATCTAGGTTAATTACTCACAGCATTAGGGTATGATGGGCAAGGAGAATCTGAGGGGTAGGTTCCCCTCCAGCAATCCCCAGCTGATGTGACCAGTTGGAGTGGGCCCTTAGACTGCTGCGACGTGTTGTGACCTGGGATAGCTCCAGGAGCAAGAAACCATAGCTGGTCTCCTGCTGGTCTCCTCCTTGACACAGACGCAGAAGGCAATCTGGCCTTGGTGCTTCTGCAGAAGCAGCTCATGGAAGAACTGCCTGAGCCTCCCTTTTTAGAAGGCTTGTCTACACTAGGGGACACTCAAAGTTAATCCAAATTACCTTTCATATTATACAAGTTGTCCTGAGCCAAGTGAGAATCTAAACTTGTCCACTGGAGAGAGACCACTGTGGACAGTTTTTCTTCAGCCCCATAAATAGTGCCCTGCTGCTTTCCTCACCCTATTGTAAGAACGCTTTTCTCCCAGAAGGGTCCGCTTTTACTGTGTTACATCTGTGCACTAGAGTATATATTTTAAAATACAACCTGAAATTTGGAAAGCATCAGGGTCTGAGGTTATATGCATGATAGGTTTTTTTGGGGGGGAAGGGGGACAAATTGCAAACTTCTTTGGTGATTTAACATCCTGTGCTATGTAGATGAAATATTAAGCTATTAACTTTTGTGGCAGATATAGAAATGCACATGAGACATATAGCTGTAGGCTTCAGACATATATACATAGTGAACTGTCAGCTTGCATTCTGTATGTAGGTATCAACTACATTTATTCATGAACATTCACACCTTTGTTTATATTCTATTTTCTTATGTTCCTTTTTCAGAATCAATGATTTTTAAAAAACTGGCAGATCTAGACTTTAGTGTATTAAGCTTAATGAAAAATTAAAAAGAAGTATGGGTTCATTACAACATGTCTATATATAGCAACTCCTACTTGACTATAAATATTCTCTTTTCCCAGGAATATAATAATTATTTTAAATAAAAAAAGAAAAGAAACATTAGTTTGGACTCACTTAGTAGCAATTATATGTTTAAGAGGTGTAAATAACTTGCTATCCAGACATTACAAATATCCAGGTGCTCTGTATGTGCTGATGACAACAAAATTGAAAAGAAAGACTGTAATAATTCTGACTGGTTTTCTCTGCAGAAGATATTGATTATTTGTGTGTGGTGAGAGATTTGGAAAATTCAATTAAAGGAGTTGTGCAAAGGTTTCATAAATTTTCCTTGTACAGCGTGTACACAGACATTGTTGCGTATTAAATCAATGCAGCACTTCACAATATATTTTCTTTGAAACATAAAAATAAATAACATTTAAACAGTTCTGCTTACTACAGAAACAAATTTTATTTTCTGTGAAGCATTTAGTCATGTGCTATCACTGACTCATACACATTTGCCAGCTGTAACAAATTTTATAGACATTTTCTCCAGAGACATAGCTCATATACTATGAATTTTTAAATGAGCAAATGGTGAAGAAGGGATGTCAGCAATATAAAAATTGATCAGTTAAAAGATAAAAGCATAAGTAAAGAGATTTGTATGGTAGTCTTAATAGGTTTTATTAAATAAAAATACTATAAAGAGACAGTAATGAATAGACTGAAGGTTTTAACTGTGGTTGAGGTGGAGAAAAATTATTCTTGCACATTTAGTAGAAGATCGGTTTTATATCACCTGACAGGTGAACATTTTTTTTCTCTCCTTTTTAGATCTGTAAATGTTTTAGAGCAGTCAAACTTGCAAAAAAACCACACACAAAAAAAACCCCGGGGGGCGTAAGGAAGTGGGGAAAATAGGCAAAACTTGGAAAGATCCTGTTCCTTTACTGTGCTTGTGGCTGGGAGCTAGGAGGTAGGAAAACTCCTGCCATCCTATCTGGGCATCAGGGCAGGACCTTGAGCTAGTTCTTGGGCAACAACCCTGTAAACTCCAACTCCAGAGAAATGTGATCTCCAGGTCAGGGGAACTTAGTCTGGCTTCCTCTTACAGTCTATGTGTGTGTTGCAGTCAGAAGCTTTGGCTAGTAGGGGACTCCCCCCACTGCTTCAAAATGAGGTTTTTGTCCTGTCCTTTCTGGCCACCTCCAATTGTAGGCTGGCCTACAGGATTTTGGTGGCAGGGGATGGCCTAGGCAACACGTTCTGGCTGCAGTGGTCAGACACAACATTACTTTATTGAGGGTTAGATGAGTTTTGTGAGATGATGGTTTGTATTTATTTAAAGGGAAAATAATTCGTACTCAAGATCGTGCATATAAAGGTGTTGTGAAAGAGTGGAGAATTTTTATTTTTAGAGCCACTGATTACCTTCTTGTTAGCTTCCCAAAGAAGAGAAATGTTTAATCAAACTATTATGATAGGCTTAGTAACTCATGGGAACATCTGGGGAACATGTAATAAATTGTATTTCTGTTGGCTGTTTGAATGAGAAACTGTTAATACCATATGTATGAAGGGGATAATAAATATGGTTATTTTCTCAAATATGCTACCAGTGGAGACACCAAAGGGAAAGTCTTCAATGAATGCAGCTTAATACAAACCTAGTTGACTTAACTATTTTGTCAGGATATCTTGTTCAACTGTGTGCAGTGCATTGCTTGATTTCCGCATGTGTTCCCCCCACACACTCCGCTTGGACTCTAAAGGCTGCATTTGGGCAAACAAAGGAATTATTCAAAGTAATGACTTTTTAGCCAGAAATTACATTTGACATAAGCCATTCAAAAATGGTGGTCTCTATTAACTGACAGCAAAAGACATTATATGGAAGAATTTGAGACGGCTGTAACAGTAAAGCCTCATTAATTCAAAACGTAGGGGACCAAATAATACCAACTTTGAAATAAACAGGTTCAAAATAAACATACCAATTAGTAATTTGCATATATCCAAATTACTGTGGGTACATATAGACTTAGTTCATCCACATGCAGACCTTACTAATTGATAAAAACTAAGTGAGGAGTTATCCAGTGGCTAAACAGATTTCATGGGATATAACACAAGGTGTTCCTAATGTAGACCAGCAGCAATGATCAAGGGGCCCTTTTTCTTCTGCTGAGATCTATCTAAAGGCAGAACTGTCCCACCTCCCACTTCCTGCCCTGATCCCACCACTCCCTGTCCCCACTGTGGATCTATCCCTGATCCCATCTACTCTCAATTCTGCCTCTGATGGTCATGCATGTAGCTGAGGCTGTTGCCCACACCTTCGCTCCTGCAGGCTCCTCTGCACCCTGGCACTGGTTCTCTGGAGCGAGTGTCATCATGTATTGTACAGCTTTTAATTTATACTTCTGGTGCCTTTTTTATTTAAAGGGAGAAAGTTAGTTATTGGGTTAACTAAAATGTGTATAGCAAGCATGCTTTGGAAATACCTGTTTACCATTTTAACAAGAGATACTAAATGTATGTTTACTGTCACAGCATGTTGATTTGAAGATTTTATTTTAAAAATTGGTTTCATCCACCATCATTCTGCTTGTGAAAGCTGAGTTTTGTTTTATCTGCAGAGTACAGTCAGCCTGGTAATAGCTATGAATTTTTCAAGTCCCTCCTTGACTGAGGTAAGCAAGTTTTTACATCATTGTGTGGCTGCACAAATTAAAAGTTTACAAATGCTGTAATTACAAGGACAGAACTTATTCAAAATATTTGTAGAACAATCTCTACAAAGTGGTTGTAGGTACTAAAGTGTATAGTTGAGTTTATTTTTAAGACCACTACCTCAGTAGCAAAAAATAAATCTACTGGTTAAACAGCCAGTGATTCATTCTACCAGTTGATGCCTATGAAACCCACAGACATCTATCACATTGGACAATAGTACAGTAGGGGTTGTCCAGGTCAACAAGGTCCATCTCTAATGTTTTTCAGGCACATCACACGTGGACAGGTATGCATGACTAAAAGGATAGGAATGTTTGAGTGTCAGAACATATTTATACCTCCTTAAATGTTACGAACAACTCTGTTAACGAGATATCTTGAAGACAACTGCCTGTTGCTCTCCTGAACAAATAGATTAGACCATTCTTCACTGTGGCCTGTGCTGCTAGGAAGGGATTGCTGTCCGCTGCAGAAGTTCCATCACAAAAGGACTGTGCTTCCCTGGAACCCATTGGTAAAGCTGTTGGGTGTGTGGTCCTCCATAGGCAGTTGGGCTAGTAATGTCCGTGCAGGAAATACACTCTCCTCATTAAGGTTATGTACAGACATTCGGGGAGATTAGGGGGAGGTTAGATTGAGTTAAAAGCGGCCACTCGATCTAAAGTAAGCCAGGATGCAGAAGGCCAAGCGGGGTCCTTGGTGGGGAGTGGAGGGGGCAAGCAAATTCTGCAAGGGGATTAGAGTATGGGGAGAAGCAAGGTCCACGGGAGGGATGGGGGTACAAGCAGGGTCTGTCAGGGGGAATCAGGGGGGCTAGCAGGGTCTGCAGGGGGTTGGTGGGGATCAGGGAGGCTAGTGGGGTTTGGAGGGATTGGGACAGGCAGGGTAGACATGGGGGTTGGTGGGGTCCAGGAGGGTTTGGCAGGATCAGTGGGGCTTGTGGGGGGGATGGGGTGGTGGTTCTTCCCCCCCCTCCCCAGGATTAGGGGCTATTTTTAGCCCCCCAACCCCTCCCCAGACTAACAGTCCCTTCCAGCCATGTCAAAGCAACTCCCACCCCTGATCCTGCCTGCCTCTCCCCCCACTCTTAGTTTAATTGGCTCCTGGCACCAGGAGTGGCTTGTGGGATGGGGGTTTGGGGAGAGGGGAAGCTGGTCCATGGGGGAAGGCAGGTTGTTTGTCTGTGGGAGGGGCAAGGAGCTAAGGGACTAAAAATAGGTAGGTAGTGGCTGCACTGGAAACTACAGAAATTCAGTTAGATCAGTCTCAACTGACTTGATGTCAGTTCAGCTGCCTCAGAGGTACAGTTAACTTAGATTAGGTCTGCCATTTTTAGACTGATCTAAACTTCCTGAACTTCTGTACAGTTTGCAGTTAGATCCCCAGGGTGCAGACAGCGTAGCTCAGAACGAATTTTGGAAAGCATTCCGAGTTACAGCGGTTACCCTCGACCAAACAGAAGTTCACTGTTGGTTCTGGGGGCGGGGAATGTAGCTGCTGACTCGGAGCCTGCAGCCAGGTTCCCCTAGCAACAGCCAGGGCTCGCTGTTTTCAGAATGGGAGGGGAAAAAGGCAGTGGAGGGAGCTTGTTCTTGGGGCTCCCCAGCTGGTACTGAAGGGTGGGGGGTGTGAATAGGAGCTTCCCATGCCCTGGGCGGGTGCTGAAATACCCCAGACCAAACTCCCTCTGTACCCTTTCCCCACTTTCCATTCGAAAACATTGACAGGCTGGGAGCTTTACAGACACAAGTTAAGAAAGATGCTACATTTTAAAACGTTTTTATCTGATACCTCATGCAATGAATGGTCAGATTTTCACCCTATCGGCCTTTTTGAAGCTGTCTGCAGCCATGCACTTGTGTTTAGTCACAGATATGAACTGCTTTCTGGGTGCAGACAGAAGTATAGCTCCCGGCTGTAACTCAGACCGACTTGTGCAGAGCTTTCTAAGTTACAGCCTTATCCCAGAGCAAATAGACGTTCACTGTTTGTTTCAGGTTCCCATAGCAACAGCTCGGTTCTCTGCCAGTGCTCGCTGTTTTCAGAATAGGAGGGGCAAAAGGCAGTGAAAGGAGCTCATTTTGGGGGCTCCCTAGCCAGTGCTGAAGGGTGGGGTGAGTGAATTGGAGACTCTTCTTCCCCCCCCCCCCAGCAGGGAAGGGGGACTCCAATACATCTGCCCCACCCTCCAGGAGGCTGATAAACCCCCAGAATGAACTCTCCCCTCTCTTTTGCCCTTCCCATTCTGAAGTGACAGGCTGGGAGCTCTGCAGACACATTACAAAAGACTCAAGATTTTGAAACATCTTTATCTGATACCTCATGCAATGAGGAGTCAGATTTTCACCCCGTCAGCCTTTTTTGAAGCTGTCTGCAGCCATGCACGTGTGTTTGGTCACAGCTAGAAACTGCTTTCTGCGACCAGATCAGGTGAAAATTGTCACTTCTGTCTGCACCTGTGGCCATATTGGGCAAGAAATTGTCACTTCTGTCTGTACCCCTAGTTAAGTATACAGTCTGCTCCTGGGCAAACTAATTAGATCAGGTGGCTATTTTTAATGTGATCTAACCTCCCCAAACATCTGTACCTCACCTGTAAGGCTGCATCCAAATTAGTGTGGCCATGTGGTATGTGGTGCTGCAGACATGTCTGTAGTGCCGCATACTGCACAGTCAGCTGTTCTCTGCGCTACAAGGGCGCACTGCCCATGCATGCACTGCTCCAGTTGTGGGGGTTTTTGTCCTGCGGATTTTACCTCTGGATATGCAGGAATCAAAAAAAACCGGAGCAGCGCACATGCAGGCAGTGCATGCAGCTGAAAAGCAGAGCCAGGCTGCCCAGAGCCGTGCTCTGGCTGCTGGCCAGGCTCCGCCCAGTACGATCACTGCAGCTGCAGCCCCGGAAGGCCCCCAGGAACCCAGGTAAGGCTGCTGGGGCCAGCACAGTGCTGGCCCCAGCTTCCCTTATCGCTCCTGGGGTAGCTTGCCCTGCACCAAAGCATGCATGGTATGGGCATTCCCTGGGGCCAAGTAGCTGCAGTGTTAGGTGCGCTGCTGCTTGTCCCTGGGGAACCAAATGTCCATGCTTGTCTGGACGCAGCCTAAGAATCTTTCTGCATGTACTTCCTCTTGTCCTGACCTCAGCTGTATGAGAAATTTTCTGTGCTTGTCGTTGTCTTCTATTGAAATGTTCTTATTTGTGGGTAGTGCTAGTGACTGATTGGTTACACTGGGTGGATTTTAATTTAAAAAAAAAGGGCTGGATCTACATAAGAGACCTGGGACTTGCTCCAATCAAGTAGATGTTGCAGTCATTAAATTTCAGGTACCTGAACTTCAGCATGGCACCCAGCACCCAGTTAGGTCTCTAGGCTTCCAGCTGGAATCTCAGGACATGCACAGACAAGTGATTATACCAGTTTAAAGTAACAGAAACCTCAGGACAGGTACTGAAATTCTGGTATTTCATTGGCTGCTTATTCCTGTTCCAGTAACATAAGCAAACACCCAGTTAGAGACTGACCCTCTCACTCAACAAAGTACTGCTTGTGCCTAAGAACACAATTTGCTCAGGTATCACATTTCACAAACTAGTAGAACATTTTTATCATTAGATATATGGATTTATTTACAAATTAATGGGAATTGATTAATAATGAAACTGTATCTTGCTCTTTAGAAAGGTTATTCTACATATTCATATTCAGTGGTATTAAGAGCCAGTTGACCCACAGATTTTCCATGAAAAAAACCCCAAAGGCCACAAATCTATACTCATGTCTTTAAGGCTGGAGTCTTTTGACGCTCTTTGACTGCTTTATAACACATTACTCTATGAGACCTTATACAGCCTCTCCACATTCTTACTGTGTAAGGCAGAAGACAAATCTGGTGAAAAAGCTTTCAACAGCTGTGAGCATTAGGTTGCCTACTGTAACTTTCAACACTTCAGGAAGAAAACTAATTACAACATAGAAAACATCGTAGCATAATTTAAGGGAAATACCGATTTTCTTTTTTCATTTTCTTTTGCCTTCTCATATATTTTTACATCATGAAGATAATATTGGGCGGATTCTTAAGTGTGGATATGGTTAGGTTTGATATCTAATTGCTGATCACTTTATTCTTTTAACCCCACACAGGCATTATGCGTCAACCCAGAGTTCTCCATCTGCCAGATTGAACTTAAAAGGAGAGAAGAAATGACTGTAAATCTATCTCCCCAGCAAATGCCAGTTAAGGATTGCTCACTGCACGAGGCAGGTGCACATCTAGATACAATTTCTGGCATCTAATTTAATCTTTACAATGTGCACAACAAAATAATCTCAATGTAAATAATACAGTTCTTCATGGCTCTTTTATGCAAGTGTTTGTACTAAGAACTGATGTAGATTTCCTGATGTATAAATGTAAACTTTTTCTGTGTGGAGTCATTACAAACAATAATTGTTCTGCCTTGGTATACAGGCTGCAATCTGCTTTTAGAGTTGGTCAGGAAGAAACTGTATGCTCAGGGATGAACACTGGTTCCCAGGCCTTCAGAGCGACTGAAAATTTCACAGTAATGATATGCTCCATTTCTGTGGGAATGGATGCCAGTTTTACCATGAGCTGTGATGACTGCTTGCCAGTTTGTAGGGCTATATTTATGCAGTTCATCAGCCCACCCAAACGTTAGCAAGATGCCATTTAAGAGAAGTTGTGCCAGTTCCATGACATTTTCAGCAAATGCTTTCCATACCCCACATGTGGCCTTTACAAATATTTTTTGATCAAATGATATAGAAAACTAGATCATGTTAGGAATTACTCTGTATACTATATACATCTGTGTTATGTTCACATTTAGTTACTTATGACCTTATTTCTATTCTACATGTAGAAATATTATAGAGTGCTAATAAAGGTATCCAAATTGGTTCCTTGATTTTTTTTTCTCAAACAGGTGAGTCCTTAACTGATGAATGATAGTAAGCAACTTACTCCAATTTGGATACTGCAGTAAGAACAAGGGAAGAGTTGCTATAAAAGCAAGCTTGCTATTTTCATCCATTGATCCATCTGATTGATTGCCCTGAAAATTCTCTACCACCTTTTGTTAGACATTTGCCAAATTTGTACAGCCAGCAATAGCCAGTATGTTGCTTAAGTACATTGTGAGATATACAAAAAGATACAGAAATTTGAATGCTGTCCTTCCCACCAATGTAAATTCCTGCTTTTCAAACTGGGTGAACACCATTAAACCAACCTTTAAGCTTGTCTGGCCTATGTAGGCTGTACTGCCATACCTAGCCAGAAATGCTTCCAGTCCAGGTGCAGTATGTACTGACAAAAAGCAGTTCAGTCAGCATAGATTTGCCACCTCCCCAAAAGACTGAAGCCAGGAAGAACAGTTTCCTCTTGGCATGACTGTGTCTGTACAAGAAGTTTTGCTGGCATAGCTCTATCAGCTAGGGAGTGTGAGGTTTTCTTTCCCCGGGAAAATTTTATTTTGAATATTTAGCCTGTGTAAAAGTACCCGTCAAAGTTAGGAGAGACCATCAGCAATTCTAAAACTATATAACAATAATCATTTGTACCTTAACAGCCGTAAGTTGGAATATTCAGTGTTGGTAATAATTGTTCTAAGGAAAAAACTGGAAATGCAAGGTTATGTTAAGAGCTTGTCCAGATATTACTTGCATGTGTGATGTTATTAAAGCAGTTACTGTTTCTTTGACCTCTTGAATACACTAAACTTTTGCCTTTCAGAAACAGCTGGGTCTGTTAAGAACCATTTCCCAGTTCTACACAAGGTAGATCATATGACTCTCACTTTATCACCCTTGGAGGCCATGTGAAGGACAAAGAAAAGAGATACACTCAAAACTAATGTTTTTGTATGGTGGGAAGCACTTGGCCCTGATCTTGTGATGAGCACAAGAGCAAAGAGACCAACTGAAATGTGAAACCATTCTACTCTCTTCCATCTTAGTTGGCTGTTTTACACATTCTTTTAGCTAGGATAGAGGTCCCTTGCACTACCTTCATTTTTGGCAATGTTTCACCCAGTTCTATTTGGACAGAATGCTGCATGTGTTATTTTGCAGAGCTACTATAGACAATGATTCCTATTTATGTGGCTTAATACACATAAATGCCCACTCCACCCATGCTTTTTAAAAAAGATAAAAGACCTTATTGTGGATGGAAAGCTTGCATGCCTTAATCATGGATAATTATCATTACAGCTCCCTCAGAAAAATGTTAAAGGCTTCTGCAAAGATTAGTGTTACAGCTTTGAATTAAACTGTACTGTAGGTAAAGTTCACTCTCTCTCTACATATATAATTACAAATTAGCAATGTCTTAGGCCCCCATACAAAAATAGAACTGGCTTCTAGAAGCATTGGTAATTACTTGTTGAAAAGATTTTTTTTTGTTTGAGAGACAATTTGTCTTAAACTGTCCTTTTCAATTAAGAAATGTAAACTTATCTGATAGACACTTCATTTAAGTGAACTCATAATTCACATATTTGGAAGTAAGTTCCTAGAACAGCTGATACACACCCTCGTGGCGTTTTGCTATGCAGCAGGGCACTCGTAGAATGTGTTAATGTCAACAACAGTTTGGTATTTTGCTGAGTGATCTTTAAACAGGGATGGTCAACTCCTTAGGATGATTACAAATGAGAGCATCTAGACTAACTCTTCTCCCTAATTCTGCCCTTATCCTTGTTTTCCTTTGGGCTATACTTACCATGCAAAGTTTCATGGCTTCTGCTTTCTTCCAGTACATGCAATATCTGCATGATTATTTAATGTGTTAATTTGTGTCCTTTAAACTACTAGTGTACTGAGGTGGTATGCTGTGTGTCATTCAGATAAGTGTCACTCAACCTGGAAGTGATTCCAAATGAAAGGGAGGGTTTTTTTGAAAAATCTAGTTAATCCTTCAGATATTTGATCTGACATCTCAGCTTCCAATTAGCCTGACTAATTTATTTTCCTAAATTTACATCCCATTTAGATATCTATTCAGGGTTCTAGACACCCCAGTACAAAGAATACTGTAAAATCTTAGTTTCTGTGGGACCTCAGCTAAACGTGAGCAGCATAAACTGAAGCAGTGATATCTGCAGGGATCTGTTGGCAGCCTGCATCAACTACTAACTCAGTTGATCTCAGTTGGGTAGTAAGATAGGAACTAAATCAAGACAGTATCTGGTAATGATTTTAATAAATCTACTGAGTATTGTTGGACACTGTCAGCATTAGGAACAAGATGATGACTATACTTCAGGGTATGAAGACAGGAGAAAAGAGGTGCTCTCCCATTCTGGGCAAAAAGCCTCAAGTTGTCTGTAGGCACCTTGTCCCCCAGGTAACAGCTTTGTATTTTAGTAACGAACACGTATTTGTGTGTGATGTATTGAAAATGTTGGGACAGGGAAGTCATGTGTACAGCACACTATGCTGATTGATTAATCAGTTTTGTAATGCCTTCAGCAAAACTTTATAGCTTAAATGAAGGTTCCATGGAACTTCTTAGCCTGTCACCTAAGTGCTGTGAAATTGGAGTCCAGCTTGTGGTTAATGATACAGGACTCTACCCAACAATATATATATATTTTAAAATTAAACTTCTTCGAAGAGAAGATGGAGTTTTATCAAATTTTACGAGACCAACCATTCCATTTAGGTCATAAAATTGATGGAATTATCTAAGTCGATGTACGGTTAGTAAATTACATTGTCCTTATGAAAGAGGATATGGAGGAAAAACAGTAATGACAACCAGAGCACCCCGTAACTCTTGTTAAAGTAAAAATGGACTTCAGCTGGTGTAGAGGTTAATGTCAGAATAAGATGGTCACGTTAGCATGAACTATGATACCGAGCCATGGCTATTAGTGAAGTGGCCTTGATGATTTTAAGCATATCATATGAAACAATGATGGAGGACAGTGAAATAGTGTGCAAGGAAGTTTAATTTATGTAATCAAACCAGGCCAGCAAGAGACCACTTGGAAGTAACAGCCAAGAGTTATTGTTTCACCTATATTACTTTGAATCACTTACACATTTCATGCTAGGAAATGTGTAAAACTGACACTAGCAAATTAATTATGGGGCTTTGCTAAAATAAACTGGCACTGCTAGCTCAGGTTCAAGATTTTGGTCTTTTAATTATGTATTTTCAGTTTACAAGCAACATCAGAAGTATTACATTTCTGGAGACTAACAGGCCAAGTTAAATTTCAGACCTTCTTTGGAAACAGCAATTCTTTTTCCTTAAAATAAGAGTTATGAACAACTTATTTGTGTTTCAGTACAAAACATTTTCTATCCTGCTTTACATCAGATCCTGGGAAGTGCACTAAAACACACAGTGGTTTAGCTGCATGACATAATTCAGTGAAAATAGTCAGTCCCTTTGCAATTTATTCCTGAATTTTTTACAGGTTTGGATTTAACTAATTGGTTTTCTTCTGGTTTCTACTATTTCTGGAGTCCCACAGTAAAACAATATTAAAATACATCAAGAAGATTAAGAAGTGTAAGCAGGAAACAACAGACACAAATATTGGGAATAAATCTGGTAGCTTCTGTGGAGGATTCAGCGTAGCGCTGATTAAACTGAGGACGCCCATCAGAGTTATTGAGACGAGAAACTGGAAGATAAAGAATGATATACGAGTTAACATTGATTTACAGTGTCAAATGAGTAAGTGATTATTCTCGCTACTTAAGGTGCTTTGTATTCTTCATCCTCTATATATGGCTGACATCTCAGAAAATACAGTGTGTATCTGTACTGGCATCCTGTGCGCCATTTTCAAGGCTGATGCAAAGACAGTCAAGCCAAGCACTTCCAAATAAAGCATCATAGGAGACTATCTTTCTTCATTTCTATTTCATACAGGAATATTTTGGAACAGGGTCTTTTACTGTTCAATAGCTGCTTTGCTGTAACCATGGCCCAGGACACGACTATGGTAGGCACAGCACAAATCCAATACAAAGACATGGTTTGTACTAGTTAGAAAAGAGAAGTATGAAGAAAGTCCCTGTGCCAAAAAACCTCACCAGTCTAAGAGGTCCAACTGTAATTACTGGGAGAAAATGGAAAAATCTAGGAGAGATGGGATTTTCTCCCTTCTATTTTCTCTTCCTAAACTTACTCTTTATGAGCCTGTAGGCAAGATTTACATTTGAAGTTGGGGGAGCATCACATACAGGAGTTCAGAGGCTATTACTAGCTTAAAGGGGCAGAGGAAATGAGAGGGGGCTCTCATGGAACGCCCATTAAGTAAATGTGTGCAAAGAAGAATCTTTTCCATGGCATACATATGATAAGGCCAGACTAATGTGAATGATTTCAGGCATAAAACTGAATTATAACAATTCCAAAAATACAATAAGAACACTTAACAGTTACTTACCAGACTCTTAACAATCTTTGGGAATGGCTTTAACCAAGGAATGTATCCCCAAATGGAAAGGGAAAACGATTTCAGCTGCAGGTCTTCTGCTGAAGTCTTTTCAAATATTGAAAAAGAAGCTGTGCAAACTGTAAGAAAGGCTAATGTTGTCCCAATGTAGGCCAATAAGAGGCCATCTTTCAACAGAAGAGGCAACATGCTGTTAAAAAAGAAGTACACCCAGAAGTAAGTTAGGCTATAAGCCAATAAGACTGCATTTTGGGTAACCTTAAAAAGGTAAAAGGGGATACATTTAGGACTTACTTTCATCAAGGCAAGAACAATACTAGAGTAAGAGTCAATGATGCATGACTTACCTGAAAGTTGATACAAGTAAAAACCATGTAGCCATGAATGGGATTTCATTTATGATTAAGCAGACTGGTCTGAAATCAAGAGAGACAGGTTGGCAAATCCTGTGATGGCAACACTTCTGCTAGCTATTTCAAACACGTTTCAAAATTTTACTTGCTTTAGGCCAGACTGACCAGGAGAACTCCCCACTAGCACTATGTGCTATCTCAGACTTTTGCATGTGCTACCACCCTCCCCCTCAGCACCAGGCAGGGCAGAATCCATGGAGGACTAATAGTGGCAGCCTGGCCCAAAGACCTAAAGTTAACATAACTGGCTCCCCTCCCAGAACTTTTTAAATCAAGGAAAAGCATGCAATTTCATACAAGCTGGGAAGGGAGGTGACAAAGTATTTCTTACAAAAAAAAAAATTTACTTACAATGATACTAGAAGAACAGATTTTTCATGTACTTGGAAGGAGAATAGGAAGAATGACAATGCACAACTAACCTTAAAAGAGTAAAAGGTAGACCAGGTATTAATACATGGAACTCAAATGCAAAGCACAGGGTTTTAATTTTTCCATTGGTCAAATGTATGTAAAGGCTGATAGCAGCATGAGAAAGTTGATGTCATTAAAGATGTACCCAATTTGTATTAAACATGTTCAACTGCAGTACAGTTTACATGTTTCAGTACAGGTGGAGGCACAAGTATATAAATGTGTATCCATAACCAACTGGAGAGTCTGGCCCACAGTATTTAGAACGTGTTTCATATCATTAAGCCTGAACCTTGCAGACTTTTGCCCATGCTTAATTTTATTCTTACAAATAATTCCAACAGAAATATTTACAACATGGGCTGTACTAGGTTGTAACTGTGCAGTTGAAGACTAGTTGTATTATGCTGCATTAATTGTGTGTACCTAAGTAGTAACTAAATAGCAACATGCTTG